AATGTGACTCCACAAAATACTGATCAATTCTGATCATTTTTATTTTTTACAGAAAATCTAATCGGTCTTTCTCACATCTGTCTCCACCACAATAAGGAAGTGACTACTTCCTTATTGTGGCACCTGGCATCTATTTGTATTATGTTTAAATTATGCTGCATACCTTCTATGAGTAACAGCCAATCGAATTCAACTGAAATTTGTCAGATGTCCTAAAAAATAGAAATTGTATGTTTGGAGGTTAAACTGAGACGTGTTTATACAAAAAGAGAAATTTCACATTTTTCTCCGTTTAGAATCTAAAGTGAAACTTGAAATACATTTTTTTATTTTTCTTTGTCATATATAATCCCTGTAAACACAATTTAGAGGGACCAGGGGCTTTAGAGACTCATAACTTTATCATTGCATTGACTAAACAAGTCAAATTTATATAGCTCAGTTTAAACCACCAATATACAAATTATTTCAAAATTATTTAATAAACAGACTTCAGTTTGAATTAAGTTCTGGAGGTGGAAGTTTAAAATAGACTTTGGTAAAAGAACGATAATCATAAAAACAAGTGTGCAAAAATACTGAGGATGCAAGAGTGAGTGGGTGCAGGAAAATATGTTGTAATGAAAACCTTTAAGAAAAGGGAACTAGAAAAAGAAAGTATGTGTCACACAGGCAGAAACAGTAAGTGTTTTTTCCATTATACTTAAAAGAAATGTCCAATCTGTCTCATGTGCTGAATGCTGGGTGGGGACTTGTCACCTTAATTTATCTTAAATGCTTTTCTTTGTGTAACATTTGTTCTTTAGTTGTGCTCAGATGGAAAGTTCTGACAACTCTAATTATTATCACCATAGTCTTCCTGAACATGCTCTTCATCATCATCCACACAATCATCATCATGGTTATTAATATAAATCCTTAATTTATAAAACCTGGAGTGTTTCTGTGGACGTAAGATCTAGGCGTAACCAGGTGGTGGAGTGTGTCCACTTTGGTGGCCTCAGGATTTCATATTGACAGACAGATTGAGGTGATGTCCGCAGTGATGTGGAAGCTTTACTAATATGTTGTGTTAGAGAGAGAGAGCTGAGCATAAAAGTGAAGCTGACGATTTATCAGTCAGTCTATCTTCCTACCCTCACCTATGGTCACAAGCTCTGAGTAGTACCCGAAAGAATGAAGTCGTGGATACAAGCAGCAGAAATTAGTTTCCTCTAAGGAAGAGTGGCTGGGCTGTCCCTTGGAGATAGGGCAAGGAGCTGGGTCATTCAAGAGGGACTCAAAATAAAGCCACTGCTCCTCCACATCGAAAGAAGCCAGCTGAGGTGGTTTGGACACCTGACAAGGATTCTTCCCGGGCGCATTCACGGTGAGGAAGTCCAGGCATGTTGTACCGGGAGTTGCCCCGGAGCAGACCCAGGAGTTGCCTTGGAGATTATGTCTCCCAGCTGGCTGTCTCAGTGTCCCCCTGGATGAGCTGGAAGAGGATGCTGGGGTGAGGGAAGACTGTGTTTCTCTGCTCAGACTGTTACCCCCGTGACCTGAACCCTGTTAGGTGTGATTTTTGTCAGTCTCAGCACTTAAAAATGATGCTGCAGGTTTTTTTTTTGACACATCTGCCAGTTTGACCTTTTCAAGAAAAGAATATGTTTAAATATCTAAGGTGTTTGTTTAGTCCGTTTGTAGAGAATCATCCTTGTCAGTTGTATTCAACCGGGAGAAACATCTGACAACACCTGAGACGTAAATGCCAAATAGATACCAGTGAGGAAGAGTGAAGTGGTTTAACTGGAGGGAAGGGGTGACAGGCATCATCTAAAAATGTTCAACATTTATCTCAGGTTATTATTTCCAAATGAGGTCACAGGCAAAACAAAAATAAGGAAGACTGAGCGGGAAATTGAGTAAGAGCTCAGTTTTGGAGAAGGCGGCAGGGGGGTGAAATAACAGTTTAGTGGAGTAACTTAACTCAGGAAGTTGGTAAAGGTTAAACTGAGAAGTTGCAAGGATTTCTTTAAACACCAGACAGAGGCAGTCCTCCAGCCACTTGTTGATTGTCTGACTGTCAAACCAACAAGCTCGAGATTCAGAATGAAAATCCACCATGCTCTGTTCTTCTGCGTCTTATCAGGTGAGTATCCGTCACCAGAATGACTCTTAAATACAGCAGCTCACATTTTGTGAAGTTTTCATTATCATTATTACCAGTTTCTGGGCAAAAAAAGTTAAATACGTACTAATTTATCTCTGAACGCACAGAGACTATGAATTTGCAAATTTTGAATGGTTTTTTTATTGATATTGATATAATTGTTTGTCAATAAAATAGTCCAAAATATTTCTTACTGTCCAGGGTTTAAATCCAAAACCCAGAAATGTCACATTTGGATGACAAAAGCAAAAAAAACAAACTTGCAAATTTCATAAATTAGAGACATTAGAGAAAATAATCAAAATACATGAATGTATTAAATTCGCTAAATACTCACAACGCTTGAGTTGAGTCACAAACAAGAGTTTTATATTGAGGGTATTGTTCTTTATATCACAGCAGGATTATTTGACAAAAATACTCATCTCATCAACGCACAAACAAACCTTTATACAAAGGTGGAAGGCGAAGACTTCAGAATTAAACTTGACCATGAAGTGCCTGCAGGAAGCAGAAAATATATCTGCAGGAATGACACTGAAAAGGAAGACATCCTCATTGAAACTACTGAAAACAGAGCTGAGAGTGGCAGATACATAATACGATACAACATAAGTGACAAGAAAGTGCACGCAGTCATCAAAGAGCTGACCCAGTCTGACTCTGGACGGTACAAAATTGGCGTGAGCAATTCTTCGTCCCAGAATTTATTTCAGGAAGTAGAGCTCAAAGTTAGAGGTGAGTTTCTTCCAAAGTCAAGGATTTTATATTGATGCTTCAGGTAGTTCTCTATGTCAATCTATATTTTTATATCTCAACAGAACTCTGTGAAGAAGATATCACCAATGGTAAACCCAAAGTCTACAGTGCTACTGTGGGAGGGGAGGTTACAATCAGATGCCTCTTGCCTTTACATTCACTAAACATAAAGTTCCTCTGTAAAGACGAATGTAAAACAACGATCATCAACACAAATAATCTCACAATTATGAATGGCAGATATGAAATTGAGTATTGGAGTAACACGGCCTTTAATGTGACCATCACAAACCTAATCAAGTCGGACTCTGGGCGGTACAAGTGTGGCGTGCGAAAAAAAGATGCAAAAAATACATGCCTGGAATTTGAGATCTCAGTAACAGATGGTGAGTTTCTACTGGAAAATGTACCTGCATGTCTCCGGGTCTGATGAACGACTTTACTGATACATGTAATGGTCCATAGTAGTCCTTCCATTTGCTTTCATTGTGTTTTCAAGATGAAGAATGAACTTTTCCAGTCCAACTTGATGCAGTCTGCAGAAACCCTGTGTCAACTTCCATTCCTTAATCAAAGAGTAGCAGGTTATAATCAAGTTTATATCTCATTTTAAAATGGGAGAATATGTGAGCCATCTTTTAGAGCCCTTAAATGGCCTGTATTTGTGTAGCGCTTTTCTAGTCCCTAAGGACCCCAAAGCGCTTTACACAACCAGTCTTCCACCCATTCACACACTGGTAATGGTAAGCTACATCGTAGCCACAGCCACCCTGGGGCGCACTGACAGAGGCGAGGCTGCCAGACACTGGCGCCACCGGGCCCTCTGACCACCACCAGTAGGCAATGGGTGAAGTGTCTCGCCCAAGGACACAACGACCGAGACTGTCCAAGCTGGGGCTCGAACCAGCAACCTTCCGATTACAAGACGAACTCCCAACTCTTGAGCCACGATCGTCCCTTATCACAAACAAAGTTCAGTATACCCAGAAAATCTTTTCCTTATCTGATTAAGTTTACTTCAATATCACACAAAGACGGTTACCACCTCAACAAGTCGATCCAGGGTTTCAGGCAGTTTGTTAAATTATTTTAATGTGCATAAAACTGTTTTCTCCTCAGTCGTTTAGTCCTCTTCTTTCAGCTGCAGTCCCAGGAGTGTTAAAACTGAGATCATGCAATGAACAACTATGAAAACAAGAATTAAAACCAGCAGGAATGAAGTTTGTAAGAGTCAGTGTTTATACAACTACTACTTTGGATCTTATTAAGCAGAATCCAATCCTGCTTCATCGTACAGATCTTTAAGGTGTACTATATGAGAGAAAATTACAAGCTAATTTGCCCGAGATCATCTGCAATTCTCATGTGCAAATGGTTTAATTTGTTCAGTTGTTCCCACTCTCCCCCGCCTCTCACTCAGGTAACATCCTGCTGCTGGCTGTATGCGTGACTGTGGTTGTGGTGCTACTCGCTGTTTTTGTTCTGCTCTTCTACAAACTGAAGATAAAGCGTAAGCGTGTTCAGTGTAAGTTACTTTTATTGTTTATTAAGTTTCTATTAAAAGGAAAGAAAAAAAACACGTTTCTGCTATATTTTACAGATGTGAACACGAGAGGTAATGGAAGAAATATGGAGGTATTTCTCTCTGAAATCAGTTATTTCAGCTATCACTCCTTGTCACCCCAATAATTTGTTTGTAGGTCTGTCTGTTTGCTTGATCGATTGTTTGTTTGTTTTAGGTTGCTGTCTATGATGATGTTGCTGAAGTCTACCAAAGTGCCACTGATGGAACATACCAGGAGCTCAGCAGCAGGGAAGAGCCTCTGTACTCTTTATTTGAGCCTCCATGCAATGCAAATCTGCACTGATAATCAACAGATTATGTTCGGGGGGTTTCTTTCGAGTGGAATGTGTCTTTTCCTTTTCCTCACATTGTTTGTAAATTTAGTTAGAAAAGAAGAAGAAAGGCAAAAGGTGTGGATTTACTTTGGTAAATCTTTTATTCAGTTAAAAGTAAGTGTTACCTGGTTAGTTATGGAGTATTCAGTAAAGATGTAGTTTCTCGTGGTATTTTTGCTGCATGTGACAATAAAGCTTAACAGTACGAACAATTAGGAGAGTTTTACTTTCTTTCGTGTCTACATAATGAAATAAAGAGAAAAAACATCAGCATTAGCCTTCACTGGTTTATTGCTAGGCAAGGAATGTCTCAAGTCAATGAGCGTGAAGTTAAATTTCAATGTTTAAATGATATCTGATCCCCTTAAATGTGGCCCTGTGAATGTCATTTATTGATAATGTTACATAAATCATAATTATTCTTTTGTCTGCTAGATACATGTCCTGCACGATAAACTTTCTTGGCTTTCTGTACAAGCTAAATTATACTATGGCTTACTTGTATTTTTAAAGAAAGCAATACTGGTAAACACACCACACTTTTTTTATGCTCAGTTGCAACATCCAGATGAAATACATAATCATGCTACACGATTCTCAACTAACCACAATTTAGTAACTCCTCGAGTTAAAAGTAACTTTTTGAAAAACTCTGTTATATTTAGAGCATCTTTTCAGTGGAATAAGTTGCCTTATGCAATTAGAGAATTGGATTCTATTCATAATTTTAAAAATCACCTATAAGCCTATTTAAGCAGTTTTTAATTTATTTGTAAAAATTGTAAGAGGGTAATGTCACTTGTAATGGAAATTGTGTATTTTGTTTGAATGTTGTTGTTTTTTTTATAATTTTTAATATTTACATGTTTACATTTTCAGAATTGTAAAACCTTATTGTGGATGTAAGAGCCAAATTATGTGGACATTTTGCATCCAACTCATTGTGTAACATTTTATTTGGTGGTATTCGATGGTTTGGGCCCCAGGAAGACTAGCAACCACTGTTGTGGAAGCTAATGGGGTTCCTTATAAATAAACAAATAAACAAATAAACATGTCAAGAACTTCCGTTTATTTCTATTCCTTTTCATGATGACTTCCACTTTCATTACTATTATTATAAGAAATCTGCATTGCTGTAATTTTTATGGCCCTGAGGAGGAACTCAGGTTATCTCAGGTTATATCTCAATATATATATATATATATACAAACACAATATGCTATCCAGCCTCAACCTGACTCCACAGAACACTGATCACTTCTGACAGGAGATGTAGATGATCTATTTTTTCTTACATCTGTCTCCACCACAATAAGGAAGCGACTACTTGTCAGAGAGGCACCTGGTGTCTATTTTTAATCTCTGGTAACCAGTGAAGATAGGCCTTTACTGGGCAAGTATTACTGGTGAATTCTGAACCAGCTGCAGGTCGATAGGACTGACTGATTCCTAACACAATCAAATGGTGGGTGTGGATGAAAAGTTCAAAGCAAAATGAGGAAGCGAGACACTGAAGTGTGTAGCTTCAGCTTCTCGACTGTTCAGATATTTAGAGACTAGAAGCAGTGAAGTGGTCTCCTGCAGTTTTTTCTCCTACTGAATTAACTTCAGAATGAACATCCACTGTCTCCTCTGCTACTGCTTCTTCTTCTTCTCAGGTGAGAACTCATTGTCCTTCTCATCATATTGATTCAAGCAGTTTAAAGCAGCTATAGGTTCACTCAGGCGCTTTACTTTATTGTGCATTTCAGTGTTCCAGTATTAATCATATGCATCTGTTTCAATATATTTTTGTAATCTAATTTAGCAAGAACTAAAAGGAGTGTAAAAAAAAACCCTATCTAAACCTAACTGGCCCAATGCTAAAAAAAAAAGGAAACCATGCAAATACTTAATAATACTTAATAATGATTAATACTTATTTCCTTTTATTTTCTGTCATAGTGCTATTTAATTTATGCTTTTATTTATAAACATTATTTTGACAATTTTCCAGCCAAAAATTAAAATTTGACGAAGTAGTAAAACCTTGTGCAAAGAAAGAAGGGAAACATTTTTAATAATAATAATAATAATAATGGATTGCATTTATATAGCGCTTTTCAAGGCACCCAAAGCGCTTTACAATTCCACTATTCATTCACTCTCACATTCACACACTGGTGGAGGCAATCCCCTGGGGCAGACTGACAGAGGCGAGGCTGCCATATCACGCCATCGGCCCTTCTGGCCAACACCAGTAGGCGGCAGGTGAAGTGTCTTGCCCAAGGACACAATGACCGGGACAGAGAGGCCCCCCTGAGCCACGGTCGCCCCCTTAATGAGCATGACATAAGCTTAAAAAGAAAAAAAGTTTTAAAATTTTAGCTTAACAGGTAACTGACTGGACCTTTTAACCCAGAGTAAAATTTCCACACTGTAAGATTTAACAAATATAGAGTTAATTATATGAAAGAGAGACGAATGCAGACGTAAATCTTGATTGTCGGTAATAAACTAGGTGAATTAAACAGAATCAGAGATATGCTGAACGTTCTCAGCCTGATGCTGAATTCTGTTCAACAATTAACGTTTAACAGAAAACAGTCATCGCTATCATTATGTATGTTTTCCACAGCACTGTGTAGCAGTGGGCTCATCAGTGCAAAAACAATCATCCACACAGAAGGAGGCAGTATCACAGTGGAGTGCTCCTTCTCCTTATCTGGAAGAAAAAAGTTTCTCTGTAAGGACAAATGCGAAGAAGGAGACGTTCTCATTGAAACAGAAGGCGACGCAGCTCAAAGGGGCCGATATAGCATCCAGTATGAAGAGGGATCCTTTCCAGTATCGTCTACAGTTCTGTATGTGAGCTTCACAGAGCTCACAAAGTCCGACTCTGGACGATACTCGTGTGGTTTGGAACGGCCTCTCTTACCAGACTCGTATCAGGAGTTTGAAGTCAGAGTCATAGATGGTGAGTTTCTTTGTCATTTATAAACAAGGACAAATCAAAATCCTCAGTCATAATCCTCACAATGCATTGCATTTTTATGGATCAGCCATGAAGTTTTCACCATTTTGTTTCATCTGTTTTGTGTAATACAAGTGCCGCACCTGCAGATTTACCTGCAAGTACAGTCAAGACATGTTTTACTTTACAATCCGGTATTGAGCCAGTATTGATAATATTAAAACTTTACAATTTTAACATGAGGTTAAAAAAAACTAAACAAAAAAATGTTTTACTGTTAAAGTCTGATGTGAGCCTTTGTTTCAGACATGAAGGTCAGAAATAAGAAAAATGACCTCACATGGACATTGAACAGTCCCACTTAATTCTTAAGTCATGCCTTAAACCAAGTAATGGGAATGTTATGAAATCAATGGTTCTACTTTTTATTA